CTCGTGTGTGCTGAGTATTCTAGAAGAGACTAAATCTGACTCCGGAGATAATTGCCGCAACTCTGGGCAATAACAAATAGCTTTTAGAAGGGGTGGGGGGGGAAGAGGAGAGTCTTGGGGGAGAAATGAACCTAGCGTCTTAGTTTAATATAGCAGCTGGCAAATGTAGACGTTTAAAAGCTTTGGAAATCGCCAATATATGGCATCGGGCGCATTATAACAAAATATTGAATTAAGTCCGATAAACAGGTAATCCATCAGGGCCAGCAACATACCAGATGTGTGTTTCTGTGTGATGAGTCTTACCACAGAATTCAAAGATGAAGCCCCACTTAGAAGGAGCAATAAAATAATTATATACGTGGCTCTGTGTTGTTTGTTTTTTTTTTTTTTTTTTTTTTTTTTTTTTTAATCACGGGCAGAATAGCCTGGTGCCGATTATCTTAGCCATTGGTAAAATCCTGAGCCCTTAATAATACCAAGAGGTAGCTGGCTGCCTTCGACATTTTATGATCACAAAATGGAATAATCCTTCACCAACTAACGATAATCCATCATTTCCACCTGCTTTTTGTCCCTTAAAAACCACACAGACGGACCTCATTGTTCCAAATGAGATAACCAGAGGTGGTTGTTTCTAAATCTCCCGTGTTGAACTGAGGTGAGAGCACTTACTTCTGCTCTTTTGTACTCCCCCAAAAAAGCCTAAGTGCTTTTCACTCTGCCAGAAATGTAACATTTCTTGAATGTGTCATTCTCTAATTTTCTGCACATGAATAAACCAGGCAAATTAACCACCATGGGGCTCAACATTTTAGTGGCCATTTGGAGGAAATTTTCTGCCAACAATAAAAGAAAAGAGAAAAAGAGGCACCGCAATTTGCTGCCAAAGTGTCCTGGATGTTTTTTGAAGCACAGATGTAAGGTTTTCCTCTGTGACCGTTCCCTGCTTCACCCTTTTCACTGCCGTGGGCCGAGATGGGGACAGGACTTCCTTCAGCTCCTGGGCCTGGAAACTGCCTATTTGAAGGTGCAAAAGCAATATAGCCATTCCATGGGGCTGGTGGTATTTGAGTCCGGTTGCAGCCCTGTAAATGTGCAGAACATTCTGGAACAGTCAGACGTACAGTCACTCTGCAAATGAGCAGCGCAGTACTGAGACCAGGACTGAGCCCTCCTTTGGTACCGTGGAGGCTAGATGGGTGGGGGTCGCAGGGAGGAAGGCTGGTTTTCTGCAGCCCAGATCTTGCACTTCAGCCCAGACGCTTACTGACCATGGGATCTTAAAGAGATTCAGCCACCCCTCCTCGCCTCAGTTTCCTGGCCCATAAAAGTCATAATGCTTGTAACCCTCATAAAGTTGTTGAGAGGAGAGTTAGAGAGGAGAGGGCGTTTGAGCTGGGCTTTCAAGAGTTCATATAATTTAGGGGCGCTTGGGTGGCTCAGTTGGTTAAGTGTCCAACCTCAGCTCAGGTCATGATCTCACAGTTTGTGAGTTCGAGCCCCGCGTCGGGCTCTGTGGTGACAGCTCACAGTCTGGAGCCTGCTTTGGATTCTGTGTCCCCCTGTCTCTCTGCCCCTCCTCCGCTTGCACTCAGTCTCTTCTCTCTCATAAATAAACGTTTAAAAAAACTATTAAAAAAAAGAATTCATATGATTTAGATAAGCAGAAATGGTCTTCCTGTGTAGCAGGAACAGAGAGGAAAGGTGCCCTGGTGGGAATGCATGGTCCCATCTGGGGATAATCCAAGCTCCTCAGCTCGAGAGAGCTGTGGGTCCAATTCCAATGTGTGGGTTTTTCCCCACACCACCAAGCAGTTTTCCTACATCAACTGGAGAATTCAATCATTCAACCCAATTCTGCCACCATCACCCCGGAGGTAGTGCAGATCCCACAAGAGTTATGGGCTCAGTCCTCGGACTCCCCTCCCCCACCCCCAACAGCCAGTCGAAAGTCCAGATTGTCACCTGTGCTGCTGATGACCAGTTGTACATCAGAAGTTCCTTCTCCTTGGGTTCTATTAATTTGCTAGAACGGCTCATAGAACAGAGGGAAACATTTCACTCACTAGATTACTAGTTTAGTATAAACAGATACAACCCAGGAAAAGTTAAAGGTAGGGTAAGGTACGTGGAAAAGGGCTCACAGCTTCCAGCACGTTTCCCCCCCCCACCCACACCTGCACGTGTTCATCAACTCGAGGCTCCCAGAACCCTGTCCTTTCAGGTTTTTACAGAAGCTTCATTACATAGACTTGACTGATTTATTTATTGGCCATTGGTGATTGAGCTCAATCTCCAGCCCCTCTCCCTTCGCAGAGTGTGGGACTGAAACTTCTAACCCTCTGATCACATGGTCACTTCCTCTGGGCACCAGCCCCCCCTCCTTAGGTGACCTACAGGCTTTTCAAAAGTCACTTCATGACACAACGAAAAATACCTTTATTCCTCCCATCACCTATGAAATTCCAAGGGTTTTAGGAGCTCTCTGCCTACAGAGACCAAATACATGTTTCTTACTATAAATCACAGTAGCATAGGTATATACAGCAGAAAGTTTAAGAGCCTCATCGTTAGAAAGATGAGGTGAGCCCAGATCACAGAGGGCCTTTACCATCTGGCAAAGTAGTCTGGGATTCATTCAGTAGGAAATGAGTTACCGAGACGAGGCAGAGCCTTTCGGAGAGGGATGAAAAGTAAAGCAGAGACCATCACAGTGATCAAGGCAGAAAGTAACGATGGTTCAAGGGAGGTAGGCAGTAGAAAGGGAGAGTGAGAAATGAATAAGAGAGAATCCGGAAATGGAATTTTAAAGGGAGGTGTCAGTAATAGAAGTATGGGACACAAAAAAATACGGAGAGCCGCAGACAATTATGAAGGTTTCAGCCCGTAGCTCTGAAAGTTCATGAGAGATATAAGCTAACAGACCCAGCAGACTTAGAAATGCAAAGAGCCTGGGTAGGAGGCGTGGGAGGGACAAGGGCAAGCTAGGAATGTACATTTCAGATTCATCCGTAGAGTTTCAGGAGCGGAAGGGATTTCCAGATGAAAACTTGCAGAAATAGATGGATGGAGATCTGAAAAGATAATAGATGGACAAAGAGATTTTAAAAAAAGAACAAGAGGAGTTATTCAGAGAAGTCACAGGGAACCAGCTTGGTACTGAGTATGCAAGACAAAGACAAAACGTTTCCAGATGGAAGGGGAGGTGGTTAAGTGACTGTAAATGCCACAAAGGTACCAACATGGCCCCAGGTGGGGCCGAGAGTGGATCATGCTGGTGAAGGTTATTCCCTTCCAAGATGAACTTGTGAGCACCAATAATTATTCCAAAAGATCATCTCTTCAGTATTGTAAGTGCTTAACAGTCACAAGCATGAGATTTATATAAAAGAAATGCCCATTAAATTCATTAAAGCAGACATTGGCTAAGTTATTAGCCATTACCTATGAGTCTGTAAGACATGAAAAAGTTGAAGTAGATCTAATGGGGACCTTTCATCTGCATGGGAAAGTCATTACAAGCATCAAATATTGAATTTAGAATGGTGCTGCAGAAAATAGCTATATATTATAACTCAAATTAGACTTCAGGAGGACTGATTGGCTTGAGATTTCATCATTTAAAATAATATCTTGCAATAAACCTGACTCCGTAGGAGGATATTAATCTCATGCTTTAATGCTATCCTATCAAATTGTTTTAATAGATCTATTTGAACAGAATTTTAATTTTTCAAGTAAAAATTTTCCAGTTAAAAGAGAATGTGAGGGATGACAGTAAAATGTTACAAATCAAATTTAAATCCTGATTTTATTTTCTTCATTTTTTGCAGCAGTAATACTAACCAATACTTGGTTTGAAAGATCTAGTACAGTAAATTCTTGACAGAGGCATGATTGGGAAATGAGATACTCTGGTGAATATCATTTCTAATGGCGCCCATGCTATTCATGGGTGTCCCATTTTTAAAAATACGTCACACAGAAAAATCTGGTGAACTGTGGCCGCATAATAGGGGATTCACTAATCTTGTGATAACCCTGTATTTAAAGCAACGATTATAGTTGGTGCTGGGTTATATTCCCAGCTCTGTTTTCTAGTAAAAATGCACTGCCATCATGAAACGTATAATTTAGGAATTTTCACCAGCCCACAAGGACTTCAGATAAGTCAGTTCTGGTCCTCAAAGTCGATGTAGTTTAGTTCCGTGTTTAGAAAAGGGTAACTGATAGCATCTTTTGAAAAGAGAGGCAGCACAGGGGAGAGGCGGGAAATCTGGTCTGAGGTGGCGTGAGATGTGCTGGGAGTCAGGGGGGTTTCGCCCAAGGAAGAGGCTGGAGCAGAACTTTGTGCCCATAAGGCCACGGCTGGAAAGGCAAGGCGACTGCTTCCCTGTTGCCTCAGAACACAGATCATGTGGCCCCGAGGGGGCCTTTGAGGAAGGCAGATCTATTCAAAGCAAAACAACGAGAACTGTTCGAGAATAGAGGAGGCTGCCGTCATTTAGGCTCCCGCATGTTCAAGGGAAGACTAGGGAGGGATTCACTAGATTATATCCTCTAGCGTGAAAGTAACTGTACCTCGTATGATGCCACCGCTTCCCGTCAGACACCTCACCACAGCACACTATTGATTCCTCTGCAATCACAGGATCCTAGAATCCGTGTCAGAGGAGGAAGTGGAGGTACAGCTCTCAAGGTCGTTCATCCCTGGGAGGAACGGTGGGCTCATTCGGAGCATCAGCTTGGGTGTTAGCCATTCTCCCTGGGCTCCAGTCCTGCCTTGAGCCCTTGCTATGATTTTGCCCACGTGGCTCAACTCCCACGGGCCTCAGTTTTCACATCTGTAAGATGGAAACGATGCCAGTGCCCACCTCATGGCTCCACGTGAGCTCACGGGTGTAGGACAGTTACAGTCGTGTCTGGCAGACAGAAAGTGGGAGCCACTGCTGCATTGTCACTGGGACCCACCAAAGGCATGGCTTTCTTTTGTTTAGATGAGCTGCTTCAGAAAGAGCAAAACTACTCCGATGACGTCTTGGCCAACATGATCAGCGAACCAAGAATCAGTTACGGAAACGATGCCCTCATGCCGTCTTTGACCGAGACGAAAACCACCGTGGAGCTTCTTCCCGTGAACGGGGAGTTCAGTCTGGACGATCTGCAGCCCTGGCATCCTTTCGGGGTCGACTCGGTGCCGGCCAATACAGAAAACGAAGGTAAGAGGCCCCGGAGAGAACAAGAACATTCTAAGTATGGGTGTATATCTTTCTGATATTCTTGAGTGGTGACTTCTTATATGAATTTGAAAAATGTACTTTCTCACTGAGAGGTATTCTGTTGCCTCTGGGGAAAAAAATTTTAAAAAGAACAATATTCAGTGTATGTTTATGAGGCAGTGGCCATTCAGAGCAAACAGAGGATGAAATGATGTGAATCACAGTTCACCCCATGAGGAAGTGTTTTCGCGGGCCCTGCATAAATGGAGGCTTGAAAAGCACCCAGGTAGTTTTTGTTGATTATTTATTCTAATGCATCAAATTTCAGATTGCATTGAATGTTAAAGACAAAGGTAAAAAATCACCTGCAAATAAAATGTAATTTTACTCAAGACTTAAATAACTTTGTGTTTAGAAAGTTAAATTTAAGACCGCTGTCAAAATTAGGATGCGTATTAATTAGTACAGGTTTTTTCCTGTGACAGCTCAGAGATTTTCTCTGTCAACAAATTTGCACATTGGATGATGTACTTTCTGATGTACTTTCTTTCACAGGGATTTCTTAGCAGAAACTTCTAAATATCTCTTCAGGAGAGGGTATCTTTTAGTTCTCTTCCGTGATCATTTTTACAGGTTCGGAAGTATAAAATTTCAAACGCAGGAACACCTTGATTTCTAAATACTAATAGCATGTTTTTTAAGAACACAAGATTTTACCTGTGAGTTTCTTTGCTAAAGTAGCAAATTTGGATAGTGGTAATATTTGTAATACGAATATTTATAGTATGGATATCTCGAAACGCAATCCGGTATACACATCAGACTAAATATGAATTCAGTAGTAGACCTTCAGTGTACTATAAAAGTTTGGTTTTTTTTAAGAACCATTACAGAAAATATTGGACCATTTCCATATGAGAAATCACTCCAAATTTGTTTTAATTTGAAGAAGGACACCTTATACTCATAATATCAGATCCAAACAGCGATGTTCTATATAACATAAAAGTAAGACTTTACCAGTTATAAAAATAATTTTTACATAGAGGAAAAAAATTAAGACTTCTGCAAAAATTTAAGAACTTTAGTTATGAGGCTAACTTCCTTATTAAATTAAAATAGAGTGCTTGTTATACCATTTTTTTTAAATAGGTGGATGCATTTTGGCCATTTAAAATCCTCATCATTCAGTCACTAATGAGAATTCTTTGTAGAAAATGTCCAGTCTCATTTGTAAATTGAATGCACACTAGGTTTCCTCTTTTCCTTTAGAACATTGAGTTATTTAATTCAGGGAGAAATAGGTACCACATCTGAAGTCTGATGAACTTCCTTGAATAGAAAATTACAATCTTAATTCCCTTTATACCAAATAGTGTTAAATGTTTGTCATTTATGTTCGCCTCCTAGCTTTTTATGAAAAAATTTAAATCTATAAATTAGACTTTTTTTTTTTCTTAAAAAATTCCCTCTGCTTTGGAGAATTTATTCATCTGCAGTGATTCTAAAATTATAATTTGTAAAGAATTTCGAATTGGTTTCTCATAATCTAAGACCGTTTCACATCTTTCAAATATATAGTTTCTATAAATAAAATGTTCCCATTTAATACTTTCCATTACTTATTGATTTTGGAAAAGTAGGATAAAGCCTATTTCAGAGCCTACCCGAATTTTTATGGCCACACACACACACACACAAATAATAGAAACTAGAAATTATAATTTATTTACGGTAAACTTTATAGAAAGATTTAGAAAGCCAAAGGAAGCTATATCAGAGTAAAAATTAATTTACAGAAATTACTGTGTACGTTTGATGTAATACTTGGTATTTCTCTTAAATGTCGTAAATCCTTTACAAATGTAGACTGTACAAAGTTAACAACAGAGAAAAAGACACTCAAGCCCTGTTTATGTTAACCATCAAGTTTAGTGAATACAGTGAAATGAAATGATCTTGGTCCTACATAGCACAATCTAGAAGAGCCAAATAGTGTATATTTTTCTCGAAGGTGTTGCATTTCCTGAATTTCAGATTCTTCTCTTTACTTGATCAGATACTGAGAGCTTAACTGCTTACTATGAATATCATATTTTCTCGGTATCTTTAATGAGGTAAATTTAACTTTACATTTATCATATTAGTAGTATAAATAATACCAACAGGTAAATAAATCTGCCTTTATATGCTCTAAGCATTTCATCTTGACTTTGTATGTACTCATGTGCATATATGTGGCCTCCATTAAAAATTATATGCATTCTGCTAAACACTCTGCTTATGTTAAAGTTTTTAAACAGTAGCCAAACTGACCCATTCTGTTTAGGGGGAAAAAATGCAAGGATATCGGTTGTTCTTTTTGCGTAGAAATAGAGAGAGGAACTATTTTACCGAAGCAACTTCCTACAGTCCAAACCTCGATGCCATTGTCAGCATATCCACTGTTTGCCTGGTCTTCTGCCCCTTGACAATCCTCCCAAATCAAATAAGAAAGAAGCCTTGGTCCAAGCTAGAAAGCAAGTAGTGATTCTCCCTGCAACTCTTGCTAAATAATCCAAAGAAAGAAGATGAGATTCACTACTGGGTTTCCCCAAAGTGATCAGTTTTTGGAAGACTAGGAACAACAAATTTTGGGTTTAAACACATCTGCTCAGAAGTAGACTCTGAGAGTGGCCTGTGGCCATTGGTGCTAGGAGACAGTCTCTGCTTTTGCACATATACACACACCGTGGTCCCTTGGGTGTTGCCAAGATGCCCCCTTGGGCTCAGTCCTTGAATGCCTCTGGATCCTTGACAGGCAGGACACAGCTGTTACATTGCCCAAGCCTCATCAGAAGAGCTGATACTCTTGTTAAATAAAGATCTGTTACTGATAAATAGTGAAATCTTACATGAAAGTGTTACAAGGCAATAATATTTAGGATCTCAGAGCTTGAGTTCCGGTTCTCACTGAAAAGCCTTCTTAACAATGAATCGTAAAACGGGCTGACCAAATAAATAATTAATTAATTAATTTAAAAAAGCGATCTGACAATGTTTGGGGGGAGAGGAGAAATCAATATAATGGGTGTAATTTATAAGTATTTCAACATGTAAGTATTGAGGCTTGACTAATGAAAATAATGGCATGATCAGGTGTTTGTCCTGAATGGATGTGACAAATACAAATGCAGACTGATACAAGGGCTGATTCCATGATTCAGGCTTTGTGAGCAACAGTGGATGATTTTCCAACACCGTAAATAACTCCTGAGAAGGCTCTAAATAAAGCAGTCTTTCCTTGTCTTGCCCAATGGTGAGCTCTTAAGGGTATCCAGATTACAGTAAGAACTGTGCAAAAAATGCTTTGTGTTTCAACTGAGTTAGGTTCTGGACTCACATAATCACAGATAAATGAATGTCCAGCAGGAATTTAGGAGATCGTATAGGATGCTATTTTGTGTGTGTGCGCGATTGCCCTGTGCACGGCGTCTAGCATCCTTGGTCCCCGTTTGCTAGAAGCCATTAGTGTCCTCCCTTCCCCTGTGGCCGTGGTGACCACCAAAACCAGCCCCATATCCCCACCATCCCACAGAATAGTAGCTACTCCACATTCCTGGTGTTGGATCAGGTTTAATCCAGTGCTGTGTGTTGAGAGGTTGGAGGCCTCTCTAGCTGGTTCACGTTCTGTCGAATGAGGGTTGGATGATAGTTTCCTGGATGGGTTGTGGGCATTAGGGATGTTGAGGAGGCTCTTATTGACGTTCGCGGCACAGTGAATGTTTGGATTGTGAGCATCAGCTGGCAGCACAGCCTATTCCGCCTCGGCGCAACAATGATATGTTCCATCATTCCATTTCCATTCCATTCCATTCCATCCTCATTATTTCTCATCCATCCATCATCATTCATTCCATTGCATTTCATCATCCATCATTCCTCCATCATCATTCCATTCCATTTCAGTACCATTCCATCATCATTCCACTCCATTAACATCCGCCATTCCATTCATTCATCATCCATCCATTCACCATCGTTTCATTCCATTTCGATACCATTTCATTCCATTCTTCTCCTCGGATCCTCCATTCAGCCATCCATCATTTCCATTCCTCCATCATTCATTCCATTCCATTCCATTTTCATTTCATTTCCATTCATTCATCATCATCATCATTCATTCATTCCATTTCCATCATCATTCATTCATTCATCATTCATCATTCATCATTCATCTGAACCATTTTCATTCCATTCATTCCATTCCTTCCCTTCCTTCCTTCCTTCCTTCCTTCCTTCCTTCCTTCCCTCCTATAGAACCAGGATCTTATCAGAGAGGTTTTACCAGCTGGTCTTAGGGAGAATCACCCTATGGCTCAAACAGTATATCCTTAAAAATGCATGACTGTAACAAGCCATATCATGACACAGTCCTAAAATCTTGCCCTTTCTCTCTCCCCATCTCCCTTTACTCTCTCTCCCCAGGGCCTTATTCCTCGTAAGCATCTCAGACAGGTGCTTACACACAGAGCCATGGCAAACATCGAAAATTCTCAAAGGATTTCCTTTCGTTGTTCATGCAGTCCTTACCATCACAGCTTCAAACGCCTACAGTTTATTGCTTTTTCTTAAGAAGAGTCCAGAGAGAGGGTCAGGCAGCCAGGCATTCTTTTAACTTATATTGAAAAACTAAGCATATCACAGTTTCCCAATATTTGAGGCTCTTTGATCAGCTGTAGTTTTCGTCGAGGGGTTTTCTGTGGTTTTTTTCAGATCCACAAACCCTAACTGGATACACTGAAGTGAGGCTGTTGTTGATCAAACCCTCGGTCTTACGGACCGTGAAGTCATCTGGCTAAAGGCATTTGTGTTTCTCCTGTTTTTCCACAACTGCCTGAGCAGGCCCGCCAAGAAGTGGCCAGCGGTCAGCCTCTTCGTACAGAATGCATGCACGAAATACTATAATATTCCCAGAGAGGCACAGCAGGTTTTGGTAAGACCGTATGCATGTAATAGAGAGGCAATGACCAAATCACTTTAAATGGTGAATTTGAAATTAAGTAATGTCCTTTTCACACCTGTGTTCTGTACGTGTAACACTATTTTCCTGCTGATTCCTCCATTACCTTTGGCCTGGTGACATGTTCAAGCAGCATCCAACTCAGGATTGGTCTGTTACAAGAGGTACGAGAAGAAACTCAGAAGCCCCAGAATTTTGATCAGTTTCTCCCCTGCCCTAGGGAAAGTTTTGACTCAGAGCTACTGAAGGCAGGGGAATAACGCATTTCCGCTTAAGGTTTATCTAAACTCTCTAAGATGATCTCTTTCTTATTTTTCATTTATGAAACAGCTAGTGTAAAATGTCATGAACACTGTACCGAAATTACTTTTAGGTTCAACCTGTAATAGTTCATTTGGAAAGTTAGAAAGTGTTTATGCTGGGCTGGGAAATAACGCACCACTTTGTCCTGTTGATGTGTATTCATTTGGGGCAATAGTGTCATAACTGTCTTCTAAAAAAATTGATGTCTGCTCACTGAACACAAGAGTTACTTATTTTTTGAATATTAATTCATACTGAATCAGTCTCAAGCCATGAAAGCAGACGAGGGCTTAAGTCTGTAAAACTACTCATTATCTTCCAAAAAATAGACAAGGTTTTATTACTGCTTTCAAATAATACACACACATTGGGAAGAAAAGACAGAGAAGTTTGTAAAAAAAAGTCTTTTCACCCAGAAATAACTAATGATATAGCTTTTGGTGGTAATAATATCTTTCAGACCTTTTTCTCTACATACATTTGATGCTTTTTCTTTAAGCATCAAAGCATCAAAGCAATTTCTTTAAGTAATTGGGGAATGGGGCTTTATCATTTGTAAGGTTCTTACGTGTATGTGTGCACATTTGAGCCCTGGAGATACCCTATTTACTTAGAACAGAACAGAATAGGAGAGAATGTGGCTTCCCAAGATCACAGAGTAAACAACTCTTCATGGTGCCATGAAACTGGACCCTGGGACCAACCACCAGCTCGTCAGCCTGCGTTTAAACCACAGATGAATTACTGCTTCTCTCATGAGTCAAATACAGTTTCCGATGATTTAGCCATTGATGAAGGGGATCACCACTTAAAGATACTTTTTCGCTCTGTGAGTGTGCTTTGGCGCACTGTTACCTTCACCTGACGAACCGTGAGAGCTCTTGTTAGAGCTTCTTGAGGAAATTCTCAAAAAAGAAATAATCCCTCTGTTAACTCTATTTTACAAGGAATAATAAAGTCCCTTGCTGAATACTGTTGCAGATGGGGGAAAAAGTGAAATACAGAGCAACTCCATCATTCAAATGGATAAGGATCATTCAAATGCAGAAGGAAGCATGTCTTTTAATCTGTTATACCAGTAAAGTACTAGAAGTTAGTCATCCTTCTCCATAATAAACAGGACATTCAATAAATGCAGTCGTGTAATATTTGAGCATTTCTGAACCAGCTTTTTCATTTTTTGGGGTATTTCACTACAGTTAGAAGATGCTAGATTACTTATGAAGAAACGGCCTCAGAAGGGGTCATTCGCCCACAGTTGCTTCCATCGTGAACGTTGGGTTTAGACACCTCCATCTCCCCCTTCACCATGTTGCCGGTCTGCATGATGAAGGACCAGCCCACGCTGCTCTTTTTGTTTCATCCAAATGTCTCAGAATTCTCAGCAACCTGATTTTTTTCATATTTTGAAGGCTTGACTTGCTGCCACTTTCTTCTCCCTCGCTGTTCTGCCAACATGTGACGTTCAGAATCAATTTGGGTTTGTAATCCCACCTTGGAATGCCTGGGCTGTGTGCACCAGTAAGCTGTGTGGTCTCATTGAAATTGCTGATCCCAAAGCCATCCTGTCGAGCACACGTTATCTTCCCGTGGACGTCGCCCACCTTTCTTTCCCTTCTTACCCTGTATTTCCCAGGTTTCAAGGGGCTTTTCCCCTCCCTCGGCTTCATTTGCCCCTTGTTCAATTATTAATCCTTAAACCTTGGTTTCTCTCCCTTGCCTGTTTCTTCAAAGACCAGTCTAAATTCAAGTTAATATTTTCTGAGAATCAAGGGGCACCTGAGTGGCTCCATCAGTTAAGCGGCCGACTTCGGCTCAGGTCACGATCTCACTGTTCCTGAGTTCGAGCCCCGCGTCAGGCTCTGTGCTGACAGCTAGGAGCCTGGAGCCTTCTTCAGATTCCGTGTCTCCCTCTCTCTCTGCTCCTCCCCCACTCACGCTCTCTGTCTCTCAAAAATAAATAAACATTTAAAAAAAATTTTTTTTAATTTTTTTCTGAGAATCAGAAGCACTTTGGAAATACCAGCTGATTATAAGCAGTGGTGGGGCACCGTTGTCCCACCTGCACTGTTTTTTTGGGTCTGGCCCAGAATACTCACAAAGGAAAAACAGTGAAAGTTGAGAAATACGAAAGGAAATCCTCACATCGCACACATTTCAGCTGTATGTCATCTATGAAAAGAGAAACCAGCCTTTAAAATTAGAGAGAGACTGACTTTCCAGATTACTTCCTTTACCCCAAAACTGGGAGCAAATTTGATTCACTAAAATGGCAGATTATGTGGTGAAACTTTTCTCTCCCGATAAATTCACGTTGGCATTTCCCCTGGGGATTCAATGGAGCCCTTTTGTAGTTAATTAACCGTAAAATAAGGTAAGATCGGACAGTTGTAAAAGGAGGTATCTTTAAGATTTTCCGCCAGGCTGGGTATAATGTATTTTATTTCTAATCAAAAGCCAAGAAACCATCTCTAAACCTGATGAGAGGTAAATCCACGCTCCCCAGCCCCTCCTCTTTGATGTGTCCTGGTGGGTGCTTTTATGAGAAAACTAAGTAGCAGGGTTGGCCCATCAGTAGCGAGAAGGCTTTTGAGGTGGCACCCCTCCCCTGTTCCTTGATACCCAGGATTAACTCACTGTGGTTCTTTTCCAGCTGCTCCTTTTTTTATAACTTGTGTATTTCACATGCTTTGCCCTGCCCTGTGTTCAGGAGCCACCACTTACCATCTTGATTTGTCTTGTTTGCTTTCCGTGTTTCTTGCTTCCTGTGCCCAGTTGAGCCTGTCGACGCCCGCCCTGCTGCCGACCGAGGACTGACCACCCGACCAGGTATAACCCGGTTACTTCTATGTCTCCGCATCGTGCGCTTGAGCAGACGCTGTCCCCTTCCTTCATCAATGGCCTCTCTAACCTGCAAATGCTGAGAGAGAGGATGTGAAATGACCTTGGAAGCCAGACTTGCTTTCCCTTACACTTTACCTTCCGAGTTCCTATTTAAGTAATCTGTTTTTTTCTTTCTGAGCTTCCCTTTTCAAACAGTAAAACAGCCCTTCCAACTTAGGGTTTGTTTTTTTGTTTTTTTGTTGTTGTTTTTTTTTTTTTTTTTTTTTTTTTTTTTTTTCTCCTTAAGTAGAGAAGATTAAATAGACCTCTCTGTCCTCAAAAATGGAAACCTACAGAGATGCAGGTTCTGTCTGGTGGTGACTTGGTGTCAGCTATGAATATCTCCTCCTTCCTTTCTTGTCTGGTATGCAGATGGGTCCTTTTCTGCCTGAATTGGGCTCAGACTTTAGTCGGTTTCTCAAGTCGATGTGACTTCCTAAAAATACCAGGATGGGACTACCTCTAGAGCCCTGAAATACTTGCATTTTCTCTTCTGTGGGTTGTCTGGACTTATTCCCCATGAGTAACTAAAATGACAGAAAGGATGTGTGTGCACAGTTTTATGTAGAAGTCTTTTATTTTTCGTACCACTTAACATTGCCATTAATACTAAAATAGACACTTTTTTCTTTCTATTTTTTTAAATTTTTTATAGTTTCCCAAGCGTTAAGAAATGCACCTTCACCCTTTTTTCTGTATTTAGGCTCTGTCTCAGACTGTTTTAAAAATAATGTCGCACCACAGCAGAAGCACACACGAGCCTGGTTTTTGACTTTGTGCACAACTCTGCCCAACTCACAGGAGCCATCGTTTTCAGTGGATCAAAGACAGTAGTTACTAAATGGACCAATCTGTATACTCTAGAAAGATTTAACTCCACAAACGGTGCATACCTTCTTGTATTTATTTCCTTCCTCATCCTCATCATGTCCCCGTGGGATCATGAAGGAACAGGGAATTCACCTTGTTCGGAGATGCTAACCCTTGGAGGTCCCTGTTTCCGGTACAGTTGGTCACAGGCCAAGAACAGAACCTGCCCATCTCATGGCCAGTGCAGGCTCGGGCCACCACTGTCCCCAACCACAGTCATTGATGAGAACTCCAAATCTGCCCTGTGGCATTGTCATGCCCTCTGTGTGGTTGTTAACAGGGCAGCGGGGACAGTGGAGTGACACATCTTGACGGCTGATCTCATCGATTTTATGAATCTCTGCCTTCAGGGCTTTTCAGAAGAACTTAAATTATAGTAAGTCAGACACCGTTTTGGCTCTCCTAATGTCTCCCTTATTGCCATTGTCACACCAGTGAATTTTAAGGAGCCAGCAGTCGACATCCAGTTGACATCCCCATTCTGCTCAGCCCGTGGTGGAGCTCAGGGCTGGGGGCCAGCTCCATTGTAACTGTGACCAAGACCAGCTGAGGACTGTCATTTGCCTTGGGCCTTTTTTTATGGCACTTTCTATTTTGTTTTTAAGAAAGAGATGCTTTTCATCTACAAGAATAAAAAGTGTATTACAAGCACTCTTTCAACCAATTTTATAAAGTTCCTGCATTGGGCCTTCTAGGCTAATATGTTCTTATTGAAATTTGGGCGGAGGTGGGGAGAATGACACCAAAAAAATCACCCAAGTTGATTTTTTTCCCCCATCTTTTAAAAAAAATCTAATATGAAAGTAACTTTTCCGTACATTCCCCAAAACAGTCTGCTGTAAGGGGAGAGCTAGAAAATAGAGGTGTTCTATAGAGGGAAGAAGCCATCTGAAGTCTTTATTATAACAATATTTCAGTAACAGCAGTGTCTCATTTTGATATCTCACAAAGATCAGTGCATTAAATGCTATGGTGGGTGGAAAGAAATGAAATGAGAAGGTGCCTGTTCTCAGGGGCTTGATGTACAATAGAAGGAACACACTTTGCGTATTTAAAAGAGGAGATGGAATTAGACAGGTAGAGGAATCCAAAGCACCTTAAAGTATAAACCAGGGTGTCTGTGATGTAAGCAGATGGGGCACTCACCAAGGGATGTGTTAACCTGGGCACACGCTGGAAGACGACTTGGAGAAAGGTTTTGAAAGATTTGAGTCTCATCCATTGGCAAAGAAGGGGGGAAGGAGTCAAAGATGAGAGAATGGCCTCAGTTCTGCTCTCTTCTACTGTGTAAGGCTAGGGTTTCCCAAATAAAAGAAGGCCATAGGCAAGAAAGACCGATCAGATACAAAGTGAGGAAGATTCTAGTTTATGAATAGCTCTATTTGCTGGATCTGTATTAAGACATATATACATATGCTCTCTATTTCTGTGCTTACAGTGAGTCTCCCAAGCATCTGGACCAATTCCCCGCTACGTTCGTAGCATTAGTTCTGGTTCTTCCAACATCACACTTCAGGAGACCGCATGCTTGAGTCTAATGTGCTAAAGTATATCTTTAGACTTTCCAGACTTAGAGACTCTTCCCAGGATTGTCCTATCATGTCATTCCGTTGATGGCATCGCTGTTGAATGATTGCTGTTGTTGCTCTGAAACGAGTAAAGAAAGGGTTTTTGTATAATCATGACCAAGGAACATGACTTCTCTCTGTCTTTCATACCTGAAAAACCAGGGCACTGGAACTTTCAGAAAGTAGGATCATGTCAAATAGGGGAAACAGTGGTAGCAGTGGAGATTTCTGGGCAGAGTGGCCATTCCAGCTACTCCCCTGGCTTATTTCCAGGGAACAATGGACTCTGAAGGTCAAGTTACACCTTTTGACCAGAATAAAGAGGAAAAATACTTAGCAGGCTCTCCACAGGGGGAGGACAGCCACTCTTTCCACTATAATTTATTACCACCCTTCTCCAGTCCCCATGAAAGAGACCAAGTCCTTGACCCCAAGCCATGTGACAGGTTTCATGAGGGACATGCCTCCTTCCCCCTTCAAGTGAACTACAGATTCTGCTCACTTACTATGATGTAGACAACTGGAGCCACACCAGGGCTTAGAATGGAATCCACACAACTGAGAAAACACTGTCTGACGAGCCTGTAAGCCAAGGTCCTTGTGGTGTATTTAAATCTACGCTTAATATTTAATCACGTATGTAGTATGAGCTTGTTACCCATGATGTTTGCCTGTATGCAAACATATTAATTTTTCTTACCTTGTGGTGAGATTTGCTTAGTGTATAGACAGTCTTTCCACTAAGTGATTGTACATGCGATACAAAAAATGACCTAGAAAGATCTCTTTCTGCCAAGAATCTCACAAACTGTTGAACTATATTATCTGTTCTGACTTGCTACACGAATTTCAAATTTTTGGGGGCTCTCAAAAGTATTTTCAGTATTCTTTTAGAAATAATGTGGGCTTTTACAATTTTGAGTGGAGAGCTCATATTTTTTTAAGTAACTGTTTGGTCTGCTAAATTTTTAAAAAGACTATTCAAGATACTTTTTTTTAAATCTCAGAAATATAGGGGACGTCTGAGTGGCTCAGTTGGTTAAGCGCCCGACTCTTGATTTCAGCTCCGGTCGTGATCTCACAGTTGTGAGATCGAGCCCCAACTCGGGCTCCATGCTGAGTGTGGAGCCTGCTTGGCTTTCTGTCTCTGTCCTCTCTCCTCTCTCTCTGTCCCTTCCCCACTTGCATGCCCACACTCTTTCTCGAAAATAAATACATAAACATTAAAGAAATCCCAGAAATACAATTTTAACTGTTGCGTTGCTAGATCCTGATGACAGAAAAAGGGTAGGCTATAAAGAAATCACTGTGGTTACACCAGCATCTCAGATTTAAAAGGGGCTATAGAAAGATAAAAATATACAGCTGTTATATTATATAGGCAAAAATATTCTCTGTTAGGAGAAACAACAGAGCATTAGCATCACAGCCCGATAAAAATAGTGTCGGGAAGATTATAGGTCAGAATGAGTTGAAAATCATGAGAAAATGGAAATAATTTTAAAGCAATTTAAATAGAGAACAGAGAGCCCTGCAGCTCTCAGGACAGGGCCAGGCGTTAAGGGATGGTTGAGAAGACGCCAGCAAAAGATGAGAGAGAAAGGGAAACTGTCCTACTTTGTGCTTCTGCCTTTATGTCTATAGCAAAGATAGTAGGAAATTAAAGCCCAAGGTAGATCAAGACGAAAAAAGGAAGCACTTGTTCCTTGTAGTAGTTATCTACTAATGTAACAAATAAATAATTCCATAACTTAGCAACTTAAAACAACAAGCATTTCGTTTCTTACAGTTACTGTAATGCTCAGGATTTCAGGCATGGGTTAGCTGGGTGCCTCTGGCTCAGAGTTTCTCATGAGGTTGCAATCAGAACATGGTCCAAAGCTGCAACCATCTGAAGACTTGAATCTTGACCCTGGTGGGTCTGTTTCCAGGATGGTGCACTCACATGGCTGTTGGCAAGAGACCGCCACACCTCGTTATGGGAACCTTTTTATAGAGCTGCTTGAGTGTCCTCCTGACATGGCTGCTGGCTTTCCCAGACCAAGTGATCCAAGAAAGAGAACAAGAAGGAAGCTGCATTGCCCTTTTTTTTTTTTTTTTGACCTAGACTCAGAACTCATCCATGATCACTTTCTCTATTTTCTATTCATTAGAAGCAAGGAACTCCATCTAGTCCACACTGAAGGGAAAGGAATTAAGTCCCACCTCGGGAAAGGGGGAGTATTAACAGATCTGTGGGTCTGTTTTAAATGTTTTTATTTACTTTTGAGAGAGACAGAGACAGAGCACAAGTGGGGGAGGGGCAGAGGGGGACACAGAATCCAAAGCAGGCTCCAGGCTCGGAGCTGTCAGCACAGCCTGATGCGGAGCTCGAACTCCAGACCCGTGAGATCATGACCTGAGCTGAAGTTGGACGCTTAACCGACTGAGCCACCCAGGCGCCCCCTGTGGGTCTATTTTAAATCTACAACACCTCTGTACCCACATCCAAGTCCTTGTGACCCAGACAAATTGTAGGCTAGGAGAACTTAGGGGTGAAATCCTGGAACTGCTCTCCATAATCGTTGTGGATGTCTGGGAGGATAGAAGAAACTAATTCTGATCAAGAGGAGAGAAGATAGGGTGACAGCCTACAGGCCAGGGGTAGATTGACATTGGTCTTGGATCTGTTTTCGGATGAGTTATTAAATGGAAGCTTTGTGAACAGTTTGACAAGGAATCAGGGATCTCTCGCAACCAGCGTGGGTGCCCATGGTCTTGTCCAGTTATCCTCCCTTTCTTTTTATATGAGCCGTGCCGTTAGACTGGCACACGGTATTTTGTGGACATGGTGCATTTCATTTCCAACAAGGTGTGTGACAAGGCTCACAGCCCCTGGTGGACAAGACTGTAAGAGTGACTAGACAAAAAGCAAGAAATTAGGTCCCATGGGAGCTGAAGGACCTGGTAACATGTAGCCTGAGCAAGAACCATCGGGAACATGATGCCTCTCCTGGAGTGTCTGATCTGTTCAAGGCCGTAACACAGGGGGGAGGTTTTGGCTTGCTCTGCTGCACAGACTCAAAGAGTCGCTGCTGAAGGGGACCTGATTTAGGCTTAATGGAAGAAAGGACATCATTCTTGTAGGCAGGGCTGTCTGAAATGGAGGTAAATGTATAGATTTTTTTTTTCCACTCAGGAGCGGGGGTTTGCGGCCCACCCCCACCCCTGCCCCCCACCCCCGTAGGAAAACTGTAGAGGATGTGATTTTGTTAAGTCTTTCTCATCCTAAAGTTCTGACACTTGATCTTTAAATGCTACAGTATGGGAACTGATGTTTATATTTTGTGCTTTCAGGTTTTGTGTTAAAACTGGCTTTATATTTTGTTTTTTAGCCTCAAATTATTATTTGAAAAATGAAATTTATTATAACCATTAGTGTAAGGAATCATATAGCAATTTGTAGAGAAGGAGTTAGTAAGTTTCAAATTCTGTTAGTCCCACAGAAACATTTTCAAAAATTATGTACTGCAGCTCTTTATTCAGCAGATGAACCGATTACATTCTGTGTCTATAACTAAGTCACTTAATTAAATAAATGATAGGATTTTTACAATGCTTCGCTGCATAGGTACACGAACATAATTTATATGTAGTTGGAACAAAGCCCTAAAGTAGCAGATTGATTCTACCACGTAATTAATGCTCATTTTTTACAGACTTTTATTATTTTTTCTGGAGGAATGAGAACACATGAGAAAAGACACAGAATAGACTAAACTATGAATAAGCCCCCCCAAAACAAGCCAGTATATTCTGGGAACACATCCTTGCTAACCTCCCAGCTGGCATTTAACTTCTGGTTTTCCCCATGAAAAATATATATGTGTGTGTGTGTGTGTGTGTGTGTG